CCACTGTGTAACTGTGTGCTTAACAACAAACAAACTGCAAACGACGTTTCGGTCCGATATTTATGACGCTAAAACCCGAGTTTCGATACCCACTGTGTAACTGTGTGCTTAACAACAAACAAACTGCAAACGACGTTTCGGTCCGATATTTATGACGCTAAAATCCGAGTTTCGATACCCACTGTGTAACTGTGTGCTTAACAACAAACAATCTGCAACGACGTTTCGGTCCGATATTTTGACGCTAAAATCCGAGTTTCGATACCCACTGTGTAACTGTGTGCTTAACAACAAACAAACTGCAAACGACGTTTCGGTCCGATATTTATGACGCTAAAATCCGAGTTTCGATACCCACTGTGTAACTGTGTGCTTAACAACAAACAATCTGTAACGACGTTTCGGGCCGATATTTATGATTTATTTGATTTTAGCAAGAAAGAATAGTCTTAGTTACATTTAATTAATTCAGAAAATTATAACTGAAGAGAAAAAGAAACTGAATTTCTTGTAGTTTTTTTTTTTTGTCGTTAACATGTGTCTAGCCCTACTTATCTACGTGCACACACATATACTCAACATGAATCATAGAAACGTTTTTGTTTTGTTGTTTTTGTTTTTTTTTGTTGTTTTTTTTTTTGGCAAGCATTCTTCAAGTTTTCCAGACGTGGGAGACTTGGTGGAAGAAATCTGTCGTCAGATAATGTTCGTAACGTGAAGTTACAGCTGTTGGAATGCTAACTGTAGTTGTATCTAACTCTTCTGGACGCGTGGAGATTAGTGAAGGTCTACAGGCAATATTGAAGAATGTTGACTGTTGACGATTATTATTATTATTTTAACAAACTCGCGCCCAATTCGTTATTTTATTGAGATTTGAACTCGCAAAATGAATCATTAATATCCATTGTGGTGTTTATACAAAATGTTATCAGCTGAGCAGTGAAGTTGTCTCGACAATAACGTCGTATTTAGATGTACATTAGGGGGTTCTTTGTACTTAGTCATTAAATATATGGAGAAAATAAAAACCCCTATATCACTGGCTTTCTTACTGGCAAAATAAATAGAACCAGAATTTACAATCGTAAAATGTTACTATATTGTAAAATAGTCATAAAAGTAGTATTCTAAAGGTAAGCTATAATGACGAACGCTGAGATTGTTTTCAAACACCAATGTTTCGATAGACAAAGTGGGGAAGCCAGTAATGCAGGGATTTTATTCTCCATTTTATAGTCGAGACAGCTTAGTCTGCTATGGTTTTGATTTTCAAATTTATTTTACAGCTTTTTGAACGACGCCACCTATATTAGAAGCGTCAAATGGACCTTGAAGTTTTACTTTTATTAAACATTTATTTGTATTCAGTCTTATTTCGAGTATGCTCACGACTTGATTCTTCACTATCTAAGACCTAATGAATAATTTAATCCTGAAAGATATTGTTAGCGCAAACCTAAACAGTGGTTAACTCCGCTCTATTCACCGCGGGGATCGAGCCTCGGATTTGAGCGTCGTATGTCCGTAAACCGTATTGTTGACCCACCGGAGAACAGTTTTTTCCTCATCCTCCCTTCAACTTTACTATAACAGGTATTAGGAAAAATGTTATAGCCACATAAAAAAAAAAGCCATGTAGTGCTGGTTACTGAACTTGAAAAAAGGAACCAAACAAGATAGGGATGGAAGTAAACATATCATTTGATCCGGTTAATAATAACATTTGTGTGTTGACTCATTTACAGGTGGAATCGACAAGGACTCCCGACCGAAGATAAGCAACATTAGACCTGGAACTGTTGCCCAGAGGTAATAGACTGAAATTATATATTCACATAGAATAAAAAATGTTACCCAGAGGTAAGGGACTGAAGTTATATATTCATATAGAAAAAATGTTGCCCAGAGGTAAGGGACTGAAGTTATATATATATTCATATAGAAAAAATGTTGCCCAGATGTAAGGGACTGAAGTTATATATATTCATGTAGAAAAAAAGTTTCCCAGAGATAAGGGACTGAAGTTATATATTCATATAGAAAAAGTGTTGCCCAGAGGTAAGGGACTGAAGTTATATATTCATATAGAACAGCTTTCACTCTGTTTCTGTTAATCTTTT